CCTACGTATCATGGTAGATCCTGGATGACCCAGACGGTCATGCCAAAGCATGTAAACCTTTGAATCAATGAACTTCTGGTTCATGACAGTATGTGATTCCATTGTCCTTATGTATGTATAATATAATCCACTCGACATACCACGCAACTTCTCCAATATACGCTTCTGGGTATCATTGGAGGTAATGCATAGATACTCCACATTTTCTGCACTTTTTGTTTCAATGTGGTATCCATTTAGACGTATGTCTTTGAAACTTAACAAATTTCGAGTAGATCGAGTAACATACAATGCATTCTGTATGGACAATATTGTTCCATTTGGTAACATAATCTGGGCTTGCCCTGAACCTTGAATTACATCTGAAGGTCCTGATATTGTTGTTACCCCTACTCTTGTAAGTCTTAAGCTTGAGAAATACTTTCGATCACGAAGTATTGTATGTGTGGTTGCACTGTCTGCAAGACAAATATCTCCGCCATTTCTCATGTTCTGAGAATAACCACAATTTTTATCCATGCTCTCTAAGTAAGAGAATCAGAGTTAAAAGCAAGTTATAACAAGAAATTTACATGCCACTTTTATTGAATCTGAAAATACTACAAGTTCAGCATAATAAAAGTACATTAATGATTCAATCGGACCGGTATACTTCATTTCCCCTTTCCACAATATAGTCTGAAACATCTAGATGAGTTGTGTTCAACTGCCCTGATAAGTCAAACACTGGATCAGGTATATCCATTGGTCTAGCCTGGTCGAGAAAGTTGGTCTCGACACCCTTCTCCTTGAGGGAGGCTTGATACAGATCCACTAGATGTTTTGGGGTACGACAAGTACGCGCCCAATGCCCATTGCCACCACACCTATGGTAGGCTCCTTTAGAGTTTCTAGGAGCATTGTTCATATGAGCTTTGCCTTTGTGGCGATTCGCATTTTTGAAGCTCAGGCCTGAATTATTCCTGGGAACCTGGTTATGAAACTGAACTCCATGGTTCTTGCCTTTCCTATTCCATCGACCTCGCTTGTGGCCACGTCCTCGTTTATGATTATCACCACCAGAGGATGTGGCGTTCACTTCGAGGGAAGCAGCATTCACTTCTGGGAATGGTGCAGATCCAGTAGGTCGGGAATGATGGTTTTTCATCAAGAGCTCATCATTCTGTTCAGCTACTAAGAGCACAGATATCAGCTGGTTGTACTCAGTGTAGCCTCGCGCTCTATACTGCTGCTGCAGGAGCACGTTGGAGGCATGAAATGTGCTGAGAGTCTTTTCCAGCATATGCTCCTCAGTAATAATATCCCCACAGAGCTTCATCTGAGAGGTAATTCTGAACAATGCATAATTGTATTCTGCCACTGACTTGAAGTCTTGAATCCTCAGATGAGTCCACTCATAGCGGGCCCTTGGAAGAATCACCGTTGTCTGGTGATTGTATCTGTTTCTCAAGGCATTCCAAAGAGCTAACGGATCTTTAACCGTTAAGTACTCGCTCTTTAGCGCCTCATCAAGATGGCGGTGAATGAAAATCATGGCCTTTGCCCGATCTTGAGAGGATGAGTTGCTCTCTTCCCTGATGGTATCTCCAAGATTCCCTACTTCCAGATGGATCTTGGTATCCAGTACCCAGGTCAGGTAATTCTTCCCGGTAATATCCAGGGCAGCAAATTCAAGCTTCGCCAAGTTCGCCATTTTCTTTTCTGAAAGAAAATGAGATGTGTAAGAACTTGCAATAATATGTATTCCTGGAGGAATATGATGTTAGAACTTCTGGTTCTTACAAATTTTTCATTTTGATCTTCAGGCCAAAATGATAAGCACTTGAAATTTCTGGCTCGAGATTTTCAGGGTGAATGAGAAGGGCGATCGTACCGCACTATTCTCATTGAAATAATGTAATATAGAATGGGCGATTATTCAACACCACTCAAGTAACAGGAAAATTAAATATGCAGAGCAGCGTGGGCGATTATACCGTACCACATAAAATTGCAATGAAATTAAACAGCAGGTAAATTCGAATATGCAGGGTAGGGTGTGCGATTATACCGCTCCACCTAAAAATTGCAGTAAAATTAAATCTGTAGTCCAAGATAGGCGATGATACCGCACCGTCTTGGATCGCAGTAAGAATAAATTTGCAGTTCAAGATGGGCGATTGTACCGCACCATCTTGGATTGCAATAGAATTAACATAAATAAATACTGGGTTAGTAATCAATCTCTACACCAAACAAGTAATCAAAGATGTATGTAACCGTTAGTTGGAGAACCAAGAGCAGGCATGGAGCAAACAACTCGTCGCGAGGGTACACGGCGCAGTTGAGGCAGAGGAAGAAGATGAACAGTAAAAACCTTAAAGGAAACTTTTTTTTTTTCTTTCTTTCGTTCGTTCGGCGAAGAGAGATGAGAGAATAATTATATTTAGAGACTCGTGCTGATAACGTGTTATAAAAGGGTTAAAGTTTGAGAGAATAACCTTTTTAGTAGTAGGTGCAAGGTAGATGTAAAATGCCACACTAAAACTTATAGCACAAGAGGATAACAAATAAAAGGCAGAGGAATAGATGACGTTACTGATATTTCTCTCTTGTTTTCTTCTTCTTATATTTTCTGTTCTATGAAAACATGTTGAGTGCTCTATTTATAGAGCAACTCCAAACTGATGCAGTTAATGCATCTTGAAATTTATGAAACTTCATCTGACTATACAATCTCTTTCACTTTGCATGGGCATTGAAAACTTTGCCCACGCAGAAGACTTTCACAAATGAAACTGTGGGCATTCATTGCCCATGAGACTTTTCAACAATGTAAGTATTTTAAATGTTTTTAGAGGTTGGGGCCAATTTGGCTCAACCCCAAAGGTTGAGTAGTTATGCGTACTTAACCCTATACTCAAAGCCATAATGATATACACCACATGGATGGTGCAATTTTTTTTTTTTTTTTTTGGGGGGGTCAAAGGGAAGATTTTATTAAAACACCAAACACACACTTACAAACAAACAAAGGCCCAACTTACACCTATAAACAGACAAAAAAAAAAGGCCTAAAAACAAAGAAAAAACAGAAAGTGAGCCCAACAACAGGCCCAAAAACAACAGAACTTTCGAGAAGCATCCGCTGCTTTCTCCATCGCTAATCCAAGAAGCATCCAGCCATTCGGTCTTCATCCACAGTCGATCATCACCTCCTCAGACGCCACCTGTGCATAGCTATAAGCAAAGAAATAGTCGGCAACCAAGAGAGAGAAGCCAACCACCTGTGTGAAGCTCAGGGAAATCCCCAAGCGACACTGCTAGAAACCAGAGACAAGGAAAACGTGGTGGTGTTGGAAACACCCGAGCTGGTGAAAGTGCCGAAACTCTACACACGAACTCAATAGAAAACATGGCTGAAGATCGAAGCAAGGAAGAGTTGGGAAGAGGTATAGTCCATATTGAAAAGTTGGGAGAATCACCAGTAGATGAAAGGAGAAAAGAAGGAAAAGAGAGAAAATAGGACACAGCAACATACCCCAACCGAAGCTAGGGCTGGTGCCACCAGAGATGCTTAGATTTGAAAGTCTCACAAAAGCAGTGAGAATGACTCTCACTTCGGAGAAAAGTACACTTATGGATGGTGCAATTATGCATCTATGAATACTAGTGTCTACGGTGAAAATTTGGAATATAAATGATTATTTCCACATTACTACGTTATTATTACTCGTAATTCTTGCAAAACTAAATAAAAGCCCAAAATGTACATAATGTTGGGAATTTTAAAATGAATAATGATAGGGAGACAGAAAATTTAAATCAAATTTATAAACCAAATGATGTCAGTGTCACCAATAAGAAACAAAGCACGTTAAAGGACACTTAATTAATAATTCAATCATCTACAACCACATCATTTGGTTTGCAAATTTGGCTTAAAAAATTTGATCTCCCTAACATTACCTTTTTAAAATTGCTAGCTATTAAACATGCACATAATTTTCAGTTTATTGCGACAAAGGCTTGTAGCTCTCTTGAGTGATTAAAAACATTTCTCCACACCCAAAGTCCTATGCTTTGAGTTTTCAATCTTTTGTGAATGGTTGGCAAGAAAAAATCGGCTCATGATGTTTGATGATCTATCGAAGGAAGTCTGGTGAAGGAAAATAATCAATTTCTTATTAAACTCGATTTTCAAACAAAGTATCTAACTATTTGCTACAATTGATTGACTAAACACAGAGTCTTTTGATTAATTTTTTGCAAAGATAATATTTACATAGTGATTTATAATATGAATGGTTCTAATCATAAACACAAAGTCCTGTGAATCGGCCACAAAATTTTTTGAGTAGAAATTCCTACTCATTCTTGACTAGTCAAGTACTATTCAATTTCAAGTACTGTCCTAAAGTACTAGTAAAGCCTGTTGATAAGTTCCAACATAACAAAAGACGCTATTTACTAAATATCATTATATACTTAGGTGAAATGTGGTGTTTAGGATTAAATTGGCTAACTCACTCATTTGTTGAACAAAAAAGAAACAAATGTCAACTACCTAAACACCAAACGAGGCCTTATAATGTCATCTCTTGTTCCTATACTTTGGGCAAGGCTGGGTGAGCTACCTTCATCTTTTCCTTAAGTTTTGGTAGGATTTGCGCAACATAAGAAGGCAGGTCTTTGATTGTTCGTGGGCACTGTTCTAAAAAGCTCGCCTAGGCGGGCCTAGGTGGCTGGGCATCATCTCGATTTGTCCTTAGACGTTTGAAAATTAAAAAAGTACGCCTAACACTAAATCCTAAACCCTAAACCCGCTTAGGCACTAGGCCCCAGCCCACCGCCTGACTAGCGCCGTCTTTTAGAACCTTGTTCGTAGGGTCAGTTTTGGCAGATCCAGTTGAGATGTACCTCTAGTGCCGTCCCTTTGTGAACCGTGAGTTTTTGTTACCACAACTCTTTAAGTAACAGCATGAAAAATACCTAACTGAAAGCTGAAATGATAACCCGAATAGCGACATTAAAAGCACTTCGCCTTTCGAAAAGCTTGCATTGCATGCTCATTAAGCACGTTACATTACCAAAACACAATGAGGAAATTGCCGTCGTTTACTTGGAGCTCCATTATTCTTAATTCACAATCTTAGAACAAATTTGAGATGATAACTCGTCCTAGGATATAAGGCCAGGAAGTTACTCCTGAACTTACAATTACGATACATAGTTTGACCTAGATTATCAGCGTCAGAGCTACAAAATTTCAATTAGCCATTCAGCTCAATCTCCTTCATTCATCTGTTTCTTCCGCTTTCTCCGTTGATCTCTCAAACCTGAAAGGTGTACCAATATCAACAGAGTCAAACAGAGCCCACAGAAGCTAAACACCAACCACCCCTCACATCCTCCACCCAAAAACACACAGAAAGAAAAGGGAAGAAGAATGTACGTGTTTTCTCCTCTTTTCTTTTCCTCCTCAAAGTCACCATGTTTCTTCGCTTTTGAGCCACCTCTTTCCCATCAATGTGTACCTGAGTGAGAAAGAGAGTATAAAATACTGGAACCAAACGGACATAAAATAGAAAATGAAAGATCTTACTCTGAAGGCTTATTATTCACCGCAATAAAGTTTGTTAAATGAAAGTAAATTCCAATAATTTTTCATGTAGTAATTTCAATATCACGTTCTCATACATCTGCCGATAATCTTATGGTAATTATATTTTATCATGCATCATCTATTCATGCAATAAAACTTTAAAATCAGATCACAAGGAGAATAAGTACAGACTGACTATAGCATCTAGGTACTACCTCATGCCCAGCACTCCGAAGTGCCTGGAGTGGTTCCACGCAATCCTGACCAATTACTACCAATTTGCTTCTTTTCTTATCTCCCGAGTCACTGCTATCGCCAAATTTTTGCTTAGCCAATTCTTCGAATTGATGTAGCAGGAAAGGTGAAACACCAGCCTAAGAAAATAATAATAAAACAAAGGATCAATCTCATGTGCTCAAAACTAATGTGATTAGTGGCCATAGGTGCAAACACAACAATGCTGAATCCCCTTATAAAGTTATATATGTATCAATCAAAATACCCTTGGTGGAGATCATACTCATATTATTTGGTCGAGCCAACCAATCATTAGTTCAATTCCAAAGCTCTCGAAAACCCCAAATGGGGAAAAGAAAGTTATTAAGAAATGTCAGGTTACAAACAGAAGTGATTAATTCTACATTAAATGGCCTTTCAATTATGAGTCACCATTATTTGGCCCTTCCTTCACGAAACAGTCTATGCTCATTTTCAGACCATTTCGAGGATACTCCATTTAATGCAATTAATCTTATTAGGTGGGTGTTTTGAGTTGAATGTTACGCTCTCGCTGTCAGTCAAGCTTTAGGCTGATATCCTATCTTTCCTTGTAACTCATCTTTCTTTTCATGGATATTAGTTTTTGTTTCTACATTTAAACAAAATGATAGCATGAAAAACTTATTCTGGCAAGATTAACAACTAGCTTCTAGAAAAGGTCAAAGTGAATAAGATCATTTCCCATCAAAAAGGAAGAAAGTTATTTAAGATCCTGAGATAGTTACCCCTGTCAAATAACGATGTGAAAATGACTTCGGTTGTAATGGGCGCGAAAGTAACATCTTGAGCTCCTGTGTTTCCAAACAAAAGTAGATCAGCTGATATAGCTCCAAACTGTAGACTATGCATACTAAACAATCATAAGAGGCACTTTCAGAAATCAGAATCTTCATATTATTAGCAACCTGCTGCAACTTTTTTAAACTCGCAGAGCTGGCTTTCTTTTGCTTATGACTTTTCACCCTTTCCTCCTCACTGTCATCATACTCCACAACTAATTCAATCAATGCTGCATTTCTTTCGAACCAATTTTTCTTTGATTTCTCCTGAAAAATAAAATAAACAAGTCATCACGAGAAAATTTAATAAAAGACATGAAGGGGAATTAAGAGCAGACTCGAAAATTAAGGCCAAGCAGATGAAACATAATATAGAGAAACAGGAAAGGAAAAAGAAAAAAAAAAAAAAAAGAGAGTAATATGATTGTAATGATTTAGATACAGCAGAGCAGGTAAGGCACAAAGAAGAAAGAAGAATTAGCAGATTAATAACTTCTAATCTAAGAAAGAAAAACAGCAAACACCCAGCAAGTCAAAGGACCAATAGAATGATACCGGTTAAGAAGCTTGTGTGGGAATAACTAATCAATGCTTCAATACCCTCTTCAATCAACGCAACCAGTGTCCAGTTACAAGATAATAGGTTTCATTAGGACTAAAAATTAACCCAAGGTATGATTTCCGACCCACGTTATTTTATTGATCAGGCATGAATGATGCATGGAGCCGGTCCAATGGCATACAAAAGCAGGACAGTCCATATCGAGTTGATTGAGACTGAGCTAGAGCCAGCTCAAACAGCATTAGGCACAACACAAGGCCTATTTGGTTGGGCCTTGTGTTGTGCCTATTGGGTTGAGTCTTACATTACAACATGTTATATTTATGTTATCCTTAGATTATAAGATATAGTTTTGTTAAAGAATAAATTATTCTACAGTGATACCTTAAGTTATTTGTATTTGTTCAACAAATATTAGTAGTACCTTATTTCTAGACTAGAAACATCACATTCACACCCATGTAATGAATGAGCAATGTGATAGACGTTTCTGTAGTGAGATGGAAGTTACAAATAAGAGAGAGATAGGATATGGTATGTGAGATAGTAATGCAAAGAGTTTGTTTAATATCATATTAGCCTTCATCTTAAAATAATATCATTTAATAAATTTTAATGTACAAATGATATACCTGACATTTTCGATATTTAGGTTGACAAAAAAGATTCACGTTTTCTTTGGGGGTGGGTGTTTAAGGAGAGTTCACATAGTAATAATCTAGATTATTTAACTATTTAATTAGTCGACTTTTTAATTAAAAAAAATGTTAAAAAGTCAGGTAAAGCTTTGTGAGTTCTAGGCTTGTTCTTATGGCCCATTCAATCGTTTGGACTAGGGCGTTGGCCAAGCTTTTCCTCATCTGGGTCAGAAATTTCAGCCTGAACAGGGTGTTGAATCTTAGAGCAGTTCCACCGGAGGTGGAATAGCCCACCACCCAGTCAAAAAACCAAGCTGGCACCCTGTCAATTCACTCCAGCCCGTGCGTTTGCCTGGCACCCAGCCCAAGCTGGTCTCCAGACCAGCCCATTTTTGACAGACCTTGGGACCGGGCCATTTGTGTTGTTGCGCCTGGCAAGTGGCGCGTGGGTGTGAGTAGCAGACAACAAAATCAGAGGCGGGGCCCAGCGGCGCAGGCGCACTAACATCTCCCCCGGGTGGGCGACGTGGCCCAATTTCTGCTGTTGGATTTCCAACGGCTAGTTATTCTAGACCATTGGATTTCCAACGGTAAAAAAAATTTGAATTTCACTTTTAAACTGAACCGTCCAATCACACATCAACAGTCCACGTTTTTTCCCCAAAAAAAAAATATTTTAAGTCAGAAATTAAAAATAAAATAATTAATTTTTATTATTTTATAATAAAAAATAATAATATTTTAATAAAATTGACCAGCCTATTTTTTGTATTAGGGGTGGAGATGCTTTGGCCTATTACTATTCATTAAGGTCTATTATTGTTCACTTGAGTGGATAAATGCGCTGGGTGCTGGCGCAAAGTCTTTAGGGGTGGAACCCTAGGGTGGGTAAGGCCTAGCCTTTCATGCCTCAGGCCAAGTCAGACAGGACCAACCAATTTTGCAGCCCCATTGAACACTAGAATTGCACAGTAAAAATCTAAATTGATGTAAATACCTGGGAATCTTTTCGCATAATCTTGTCTATTTGACGTGCAAGAGATAACCGTTTCATGACCTCAGGCAAGTATGCACTGTCCATGGGAAATCGCTGAAAACTTTCCTGGGTACAGAAGAAGAAACATAATAAGGACAACTGTGGACAGAAACCAGACTGAAAACATTAAGTGCTGTCACTGCTAAATTCAAAGTAGCACTTAATTTTTCCTTAATTTTTCCTTGATGTAATGTTACCTTGGAAAATGATTTGCACAATGAAGCAAATTTGGAGCTCTCATTTGGCGCAATTAGTGCAATGCTGCACCCATCAGCAGAAGCTCTAGCAGTTCTACCACTTCTGTGAACATAAACCTAGTGAACAGAAAAAGAACAAAACAGCCCAGTCAGAAAATGTAAGGACCTCATCAAACATGGCAAAAAGCATCCAGATGTTTACTTCTGCGGAATGTGGGAGCTGGTAGTGAACAACAGTTCGAACACCAGGAATATCCAGGCCTCTTGCTGCAACATCAGTGGCCACAAGTAAACCATGTTCATTTCCACGAAAACGATCAATTGCCTGCATTCAGCACCATCAAGAGCGGTAAGCCTTCAAGTCCATAACCAGGGATCTAGAATCAGGATATACTTTTGAGTTTTGACACAAAATCAAAGGTATCCAAAGAAAGAAAATACCACATCATCATAACTAAACAGAAAATTATGTCTGCATCTCCATGTGGCTCCAAGCACAATACAATGTAGGAAGTTCACAATAACAATATTTTTCGATGAAGCCTTTCAAATTTTCATTCTCTTTACCAAGCATGAAAAAGAAAACAAATAGTAACAGTTTACTATTCGTGTACGATCGTTTATCATAAAGAAAGGAGAAAGGAAAAAAGCCATCAGATCTGTCCGTAGTCATGCTGGCTAGGCCAAAAAATTACACATTTCAGATCGAACTCTAGCAGGTTTGGTAAGATGATTGTAAAAGTACCTAAAAGAAAAGAAAAAACAAAACAAAAGAAGAATCCCTTTGCATTTCATAGTTTGATTCATTGGAATTATACTAATTTAAAATAGGTATTTGTTTATTCATATAACTGCTCTCTTTAAATTACACCAAGTGGCATGTGGTCCAATATCCTAGTGGATAGGATGTTGGGTTTCTACCCATGTGTCCCGGGTTCGAAACTCCCCCTCCCCTAAATTATTGTAATAGTTTCGAACTCTTCCCCCTCAATGCAAAATAATTAAAAAAATACCTACTGCCTTCAGGTCCTCAAAAACTTGAACTGAAAATGTTGAAATTCAAATTTTCTTTCCTAAATAACCATTTTAGTAGTGTTGAATACAATCTTTATCAAGCATTCACATCACCAAAACTTACACTGCAAATCTGAATTTGTCTCTCAGCAATAAAATTTAAACATAACTTTTTCTTCGCAATATATATCTGGTACAACCTTATTTAACTTAATTGGAAAAGTGAAAGTCAAACCTTCAAGCGAGCTCGCTGCTGCATCTGAGCATGAAGTGTCCAGACATTGATGCCAAGAATGCGCAGGAGTGATGATATGTGTCGCAAAGCTGCAACTGATGTACAAAATACGATTGTGCGACCTTGTCCATGAACACTTAAAATATAATACAGGTAGGCGTCTTTATCTTCTTCCTTGCATCTGCAATTCTAAAATGATTAAGTAACATTCCACTGAAAGGCTCATGAACTAAAACCAGAGAGACAAAAAGAAATGGCTAAGCAACTGTATAGCACAATCCAAGTAGTCATCTCGCTCAAATTGATATTTGGAATATCAACCACATGATTAGGTGCTAACAATAACACCGAGTTAAAAGCTTTGAGGAAAACTTCATGATGTATCATAACGAAAGCCAATGCCTACCCAAATTTTGCAAAAGGGTGCAACAATACTTCAATAAAATAAAAAATAATCACTTGACTTTGTAACTAATATGACTTCAGTGAAACATAAACATCCATAATCTATTAATCTCCCATGACACTTATCAAGATCTGACAATTTCACCTAGGTAAATGAATCTATAATACAAGATTTAACTACATACATACAACTATTAGGCAACTGAGTAATAAAGTTTCCTCATTTCATAGGCAATAAGAAGCCACGAAGGAGTGCAGGCACAATAGAGAGGCAAGAGCATATTGAAGGTACACTGGCTTTCTGATATGCCAATGTTTGTTATCAGGTCCTCTCCACAAAAAAGTAGACACCCTTCCACGCTTTGCACTAGAGGAAACAACACTCAGTGTCCTAAGAGGACCTATTTAACACTTGCGTACGTCTGTACTAGAAAATTTTCTTTATTCTATAAACATTTGGAAAATATGAAGAGTCTAGGCATCATAGTGAGGCAAGAGCAGATTAAAGTAGAGAGCACTGTTTTTAGTCAAAAGAAGGGACACTCTTCCTAGGTCTGCTTTAGAGGAAACAACACTCAGTATCTTGTGAAGACTCCTTTACAATGCAACTTGGTGTAACAAAACTTCCCTTGTTTTAAGATGAAGGAAACTACTAAAGAGTGTACTCATCATAGCGAGCCAAGAGCAGATTGAATATACAAAGCACTGGCTTTCTGAGATGCCATTATTTGTTATCATGTCCTCTCTTAAAAAAGGAAAGAAGACAATCTGAGGCCTGCATTGGAGGAAACAGCACTCCATGTCTTAAGAAGACCACTACTTTGCCACTAAAGCTATTAGGTAACACATTGGAAGAAAAATCTCTCTATTTTTTTAGAAAAAGGAAAACATAAACTGTAGGCATCATAGCGAGCCAAGAGCAGACTGAAAGTACAGAGAATTAGCTTTCTGAGATGTCATTGTTTGTTATCAGGTCCTCTTTTAGCCAAAAAGGAAGCCACCTTTCCGAGGTCTGCATTAGCAGAAAGAGCAATCCTCGCCTTCCAAGGACCTTTTCTTGGGATTCACATTCTTACTATTAAGCATATACATACAGTGCAAACTTAGTGTAGGATATCAGCAAATGACAGGAAGGCAACAAGGAAAAAGATGACCAGGCTTCACATGTACAAATGAACGAAAACAGGGAGAGGAATTCACTGTTTGAGCATCTATGTCTGATCATTGAAAGACCTATTGCCCATATCTTCTTGTAATTTATGAAAATATATTATTGCTTCCTATCAGAAAATAACAAGGATGCAGGAAAGGAAGATAAACTAAAGGAGAATGAAGGAAATAAAAAATAAAGAGAAAAAGATTAGAGGAGGAGAAAACAAAAAAGGCAGAATGAGAAAAAGATAAATAATACAAGGAGACAGAAAAACTGGGATAAGTAACTTCAAACCAATATTTGAATGATGTGTGAAAATCATCAACCCTACTACAATTTATACAAGCAATCTGAAAATAATAAGACACCAAAAATACACCAAAAGGAATACTTGAATAACACGACAACTGAAAGCCAACACAATAACAAATAGTAATAGAAATGACTCAACTCTAAATTGTGACGTGGAGATTAAGTTTGTGCTCAGGCCTAAAATAACTATACTTTCATTCTTAGGAAAACTAACGAAAAGGGCTTGAAAATTTTGAGTTTTAATGATAAGGACAAAATAAAGGGTAAAGTGAATAGTACCAGGATTGACTTTTTAAGTGTAAAAATGTGGTTTTTTGTTAAAGTGAACAGTACCGCAGGCTTTTTGTTAAAACTCCCTTCATTCTTTGCATCCATTATGAAGGCATTGAACCTTAGCTGGAGCTAGTCACCAAGCATGAACCCGTTAAACTAAGGTATAGAAGTGATTTGCACTAGCCCTATCTGAAAGAAATAAAATGGCATCAATTGTACAATCACATATTTTTTTGGGGACAAATTACCAGATATCTAGTGTTCCGGGAAAAGTTAAAAATTGTGTGACCAACTTTTGTCGGAATAACTAGAAAACAAGTTAAGGTATAAAGAAAACACAAACATATTAAGCTTCACATAATTCAATGGACAAACAGAAATTTCAAAAAAATCAAAAAGTAAAATGGCTGAATTAATAAAGTGAATCGACTTTGAATAGACACTTCCAGAAACTATATTAGCCATCTCACAACGAAGTTCTTATTATTGGTCAAACATCTAATAACTAAGTACACGATACTATGTGGAGATTTGTAGCTCCAGAGGAGTGAGTACTTATATCCTAATACCTTCAGTAAAAGCTCAAACCCACTCCCCCCACTTTGTACCAAGAAAAAAAACTACAATCCATTACTTATGATGCACAATGGATCGAGTATGTTAACCTACATATTGGATCTAAGGTGTAAGATGTCCCACCGTTAACTTAGTTACTAACGAAACCACCAACAGGCCTATGTGCATATGTTACGGAAATACGCATGAAAGTATATACATAAATATTATATATATATTGGAGAGAGAGAGAGAGAGAGCTGAATGGAAAAAAAATAAATTGAAAACACTACTCTAAAATGACAAAGTCGGTAAGGTGAAATGTATTCTCATGAATAAGAGTTCCACATGTCAAACAATAGATGGATAGGTTCTCATGAAAAAGAGCTCCTCATGTCAGATAATATATGGAGAGGTGAAAGGCACGTACTCAATGAATGACTCCACAAGCTTATTTGCCAAAATGGATGTATTTGTCAGATCAATGATGGCAACATTGTCTCTCATCCCTGCTCGCTCACTTAGAGCTTCTATAGAATTCACCCCATCAGACATTGATTGGTTGGGTTTTTGTGAACTACGCTTTAACTTCTTACGGAAATCAGGAGAAAGTGCTATAGTAGCAGAGAAAACAAATGTTTGTCTTTTCTTCCTCTGGAAGTTGGAGATCGCAACAGAATTTTGTGCATTTTCAGAATGAGATTCAGTTGATGTATTCCTCACTGGAAGCATGTCAATTATTGACTGCATTTCATGAAAATGACCATTTTCTATCATTCGATCAGCCTCGTCCAGCACAAAAAAAGACAACGAATGTAACTGCAAAAGCAGAAAAAATTAGTCAAAAATCAGTTTATCCATACATGTCAAAGGTGTACGCATGCATGTAGCTCATTAATGAGCCTGAGCACAAGCACTACTTGATACCACAATTGCAACTAGTCATCATATTTTTTTTCTAAAATATGGACCAGTGAAAAAGCTAGAACGGGATAGCCTCTTCCAATCAAGGCTACATACATTAATATTAGCTTACATGTATGACATCACAAGTTACTTTAGAGTGATCAAACAAATGAAAAACTTCAACGTCGTACAAGCTCTGCTAGAGTTCATAATCCTCCCAAGATGTTTCCAGTTTTCTTATTCAGTAATTACTTCCACCTTTTTTTTGTAGTGGTAAGCTTGTCTTCGTGGTAACATAGTTATGCCTGGTCAACTGGAAAATACAATCAGTACACACATGTAAACAAGTCTAACTAATCTTGAACTCCTAGGTCTAGTCTTTAGAGTAGTCCAATTTATAGAGAATGAAATTACTATTTTAATCATCACGCAAAACCAAGACATGAATACTAACAGCACATTGCACAATAATTATAATTCAGAAATTGAAAATACTGACATGCATCAAAACGGGAAAAAATGAAGGGAAAAGCAAAATTTATTGTGAGAAACAACATCTTGTCTTGCATTAAGCAAATGTTAATCTTCGTTCAGTACTGACCTCGACGAGATGCTTTTCTCCACCAGACATAAGTTCCCATAATCTCCCCGGAGTCCCAACAACAATCTCAGGTCTACCCTTTAGAAGTCTCTCCTGCTTTTCCATTGACATCCCTCCAACTATTGGAACCACTCTAATATCAGTATCCTTGGCAACTGCCTTTAGATGATCAGAGACCTGGAAAAGGAAAATCGAAAAATCTCACATTAAAATCTCAACATGCGGATTCTGAATCGAACAAGGTTCACAAAAACCCACATTTTCAACTGATTCAAAAAGAAATTTCAGTATTGCTGTTAAAAAACAATATGGCAAGGCATGAGTAAACTGTTGCTTCCCAAATAATGCGAAAATAGCCATGAGATACATTACCCTTTTCAGAACCTTTAACAAACTTTTGTGGCCATGCTAATATAAGTGCCAAACAATCCTAACATTGGCTGCAGCCAAACTTTGCATTTTCTTACATGCTGATATGAAAATATACACAAGAACACCCGTGGCAAGAAAAACAAACAGTGTAGTAGTTTGTTGTTTCTTCGGTTGCTAATACATGTTCCCACTGTTGCATTGAGCAATGCGAAAAAATTTCACCAAGACATTGTGCATAGATCAGGAAATATTTTAGGAGCTATCATACAGAAGAGTCCCTCTTGGAAAGCTCACAGGGTAAACTTATATGCTCTCTAGTCACTAAAAATGACATGGGGACAGAGAGCTACAGAAATTATATGAGGTTACTGCTTAGTGTATTTACTAGTTCTCAAATGGCATCTAAAATCTTTAATCCTCAAAACACAGTAATGCCCTTCTCCTTTGCTTGCATGAAGATTTTAGTCCTAATAACAAAATCCGCAATACCTGTGTCATGGAGGTGGCTTAATTAAGACAAAGGGAATGACAGATTGTAAGGGCTGATGTTATCAAATCTAACACTATTAAGGAGATATATCTCTTTCAAGTTTTTAGGCTCACAAATTGGGCTTAAACATGAGTGCAGCAGAATTGTAGACTTCTTGTTTGCCCATTATCAAGGGTCTTCGAATTGTATTGGCTTCTCTTCAAATTTACTTAGCCACTATGTCTGCTTCTTCCGCCAAGCACATGTAGCACATAGGACTTACACTATCATTTTCTTCTATATCGTCAGACATTTAGTTCAGATATACAATTTAGGGGAACTTCAGGCACTTGATATACAAGCCTTTGTAGTTCCTACACTCATGTCTTGTTTTAGTTACATGGAATTACTGACAACCACGGAATGAAGAAGTAGCTGGGTCAGGGTAGGTTGGTGGGCTGTTTATCATATATCCATTCCTTCTCATTTATTATAAAAGTAAGAAGTACGTAAACATGCCCTCAATGTAGGATTCCTGAGGCATGATTTGGGAATGAAAATCATTCATTCACTAGGAATGGACTTTCATTTATTAGAGAAACCAAATGCTTAATAAAAAGAGTTTCCAGAAAAGGAAAACTGTTGTTTTGTGGAAAATTACATGAACAGAATCAACTAGCAATTACCTGAAGTGCAAGTTCTCTTGTGGGAGTAATGATAAGGGCCCGTAGAAGACCTTTTGGAGCAAACTTCTCTGCTTCCACCCCCTTTTCATCAAACATCTTTACAGCCTTTTCCTTTTCATCCAATAAGCGTTGCAAAATGGGCAAACCAAAAGCAAGGGTCTTTCCAGACCCTGTTTCGGCAGCACCAACAACATCCTGTCATATAAACCAATTTAATGAGTACCAAACAAGAAATGATCATTGCCCATCAAAAATGTTACATAACAACCTTAACCAACCTTCCCTTGATGAGCAGCAGCAGGAATACAAGCTTTCTGTATTGGCGTTGGGTTCTTGAACCCAAGCCTATATATTGATCTCATGATCAGATGATGGAGTCTCAACTCATGCCATGCATAATACTCATCTTCATCGAAACTCTCTTCGTCAATTTCTTTTTTTCCTTTGCTATCGTCATCTAGAATCACATTTCAATGCAGAAAGTGATGAAAGTATCTTAACATAGCACGTCCAACAAGCATTGTCAAAATTACATGTGCTTCAAGAAAATATACAATAAGTTCAAAAACTGAACTAAACGTGTGAATATTTTAATTTGAGTGAAGAGAGTGGCAGGAAAAAGTGATCAACCTAATGGTGGTTCACCACCCAACCTGGCTAACCACGACCAGAAAGTAAAGAAATTACACATGCTAGCATATAGGTTTAGCCTTAGTATAAGACACATCAAATTTTATAAAGAAGAAATAAATTCTCCATGGCATTCGCCTGAAAAATCAATCAATTGAAATTTGAAGGTGCAATTCTTATCAAAGAAAAGATAATGAAAATGCAGTTCAAATTCTGAAAAAAAAAAAAAAAATCCCTAATTCCATAATCATTAATGCAGTTAATATGCATGAAGTGATGTTTGACAATAACATTGAATTGAGATATCACCAATCCATCAACATATTAAGGGCACATTTCATAATTCTTTGTTATTTAAATTATGGATAAAAGAAGAAAGTAAAAAGAGTGATGGCAAAGATGAGGGGAAGAGGAGAAACATCATATTGGAAGGTCTATAAATAAAAACCAAAACCAACTTCAAATAGTTGTTTAGTTTTAGTTTTAAGTACTTTCGCCCGTTTCTTCTTTACCTTCTCATCTCACTCTCTCCTTCCCAACATAAGTAACACAAACAATTTTGAACCATATAATGCTCTAAAATCATACAAATTCGATCAAGTTTGTCGTGGCGCAGAAAACAAAACATAAACAAATAAACTAACGAAATCAGCACTAAATTTTCTATAAGTAAAAAAAATACAGGACTAACCAACTGTACTCTCCACATTTTCCAGGGTCTTCTTGGCCTTGCTCTTCTTTTTCTTGTTCTCCTTAGATTTCACATCCTCATCCTTACTTTTGTCTTCAACCTCATTGTCACCATTTCCATCAACATTCTCAATTCTCTGAGCTTCGTCGGGCTTCTTTTTCTTTTTCTGTTTCTTTTTCTTCTTTTTGTTTAGCTCGTTATCATCCTTGCCCAATCTCTCTTTTCCATCCGCCTCAACCCCATCGCCAGCACCCCCATTAACTCCGCTGCTGCGCTTCCGCTTCTTGGACTTTTCACTTTGCTTACAGTGTTCCTTGCTATTCCTATTTGCTACTTGTGGTTCAGGAATTTGAAACCCATATGCGGCCTCATCAATCTCCTCAAGCATTAGGAAACCTGCATTCATTCATATAACAACAGCAAACTTAAACCCATAAACCCCAGAAATCAACTTTCCCCTATCTTCTTTTCCAAATTTCCCAGTAACCAAACAGAAAAACAAAACGCAAGTCGTTATCACTATTCAATCAATGGAAAAGGATAGAGAGATGGCACGACGAACCTCCTTCGAGCTCGTTGTTGCCGACCAGTTGAGTGAAGGCGTTGTCATCGTTGGGGAGAGAGGGGTTCCATGGGAGCGAATCGAAGCGCTCGAGCTCTGCGTCTTGCTGTTGAATTTGCTGCTTCTTGGCTTTTCTCTTCAATCCGCGGGAGAGAGGTGGTGGCGCCATTGTCCCAGGAAGGAGGCAGCGAGCGAGGAGGCTGCAGGAGTAGGGTACCGGGTTGAAGGGAGAGGGTTGGGGAATACTTATAATTTTGGGTTTTTGCATGATTTTCACTCGACAATTTTGAGATTTATTTCATTTTGGTCCCTTTAAACTTTTTTCCGTCCTAGTTTGGTCCTTGTTTTTTTCATTTTGGTCCTTAAATTTCCCTCCTCAATTTGAGCTCTAATATTTTAGGGGCCATCTCTAATCGAGAAAGGTCTTGTCTTCAAACCAAAATATAATCTGATTTGTCTAAAAATTCATCTCTAATCGATGGTTAGGCTGTTACTTATAGAGCTCATCAAACCATTATTTGGCCAAAGAGGCATCAAGCTGACCAAATGTAGCCCCCCCTTTAGCCCTTTTATGGGGTTCAACTCCTCAGTTGCAATAATTTATTCAAATTCAACAACTAGAGTTGAAAATATCGAACGGTAGTTTAATTCAATTAATCAAAAAATTTAAAGTATAAACTTAAAATTAATACTTTATTGAGGGGGTTTTATTTACCTTCTTCGGTTTGAGATAGTATATGAGTATGGTTTGACACTGTTCATTTAAAAATAATTTTTTGCAATGCTATAATTTTGAACATGACTATATTTAGCCATTTTTATTTCGATTAAAGGACATAGATTTCAACTTGTTTGCAAAGGGAATGTGTATAATTATAGTGCATGTGGCAACAGAAACTAACAAATCAATCAAGCTGGATTAGTTTGGCTTTAAGCCTGGCAAACGAGTTGTGTTTGTCGAGTTCATGTCATTTTTGTGTAATGCATGTTATGTGAACAGGTCGTGTCGTGTCATACCCATTATCATAACGGGTTCTTAAAGGATCGTATCATTTTACCTGTTAAAATTAACAGGCAAAATGACCCGGCCTGATAAGACTAGTTAAGAAAATAGAAAATTAAAATTAACGGGTCGTCTCAAACTTTGTTCTTCATTATGTCTCACTATTGTCGTTAATGGTTATTTTTCATTCTTTATTGTCGTCTCTATAAATTCAAGTATGATTAAACTGAAATGTACCACCGTTCTTTAAAAATAAACATTGACATGTACTAACACAATTTATTCTCAAATTGCCACATAAATATATTTTATAGTGTGTTTTTTTAGTAATTTAAAATTATTAAATTAAGATTTTTCTTATCGTTAACGGGTTACCCACATGTATGCCTAAACCAACCCGTTATCTTAACAAATGCTTATCGAGTTATCCGATAACAACCCAATTTGTTAACGTGTAGACCCAAAACTTGTTAATTTCGTGTTGTTTCGTATCGAGTTATATTGTACAAAATTGTTAGGCCTACCTAGCTCAAACTAAACAGGATAAAAATAGTGAAGTGTTTGATTTAGTGCTAAATTAGGTCTCAGAGTAAAATATTTTAAAACCAATGTTTTTGTTGATAGGACAACGAAAAGTTATGAAACAAATACAACGCCATATTGAATGCAAGATTTTCAAGGCTAACTACCTTTGAAATCAGTCATAACTCCTCATTGCTAAATCAATCATAACTCCAAGATGCAACCTTTGAAATCTCATGGCCGACCCTAGGTTGGTTTAGGCACTACAACCTAGGGTCGGCCATGAAATAACATGTTGGCCAGGAAAAGTCTCAACTCTAATCGCTGACATGAGCCTGAAATTGCATCCGTGGCGCTACGGTAATGAGCACAAAATCAATAAGATGAGTTTATTATTACTAATCTTATTTTACCTCTGGAAACGATTTGTTTTCTCCCCAAGCTATGGAAGAGAACAAAAACTGGTTTTCATTGCGATGACAGGAATACGTGCTGAAATAAGAATGTCACTATCTATGTCTAGCTCTTCGAAAATTCTTGGCTGCGCTTGGCAGCAGCGACGACCGCATTCATCAATATTCCACGGAATCCACCCTTCTCCAGCTCATGAATGCCGGCAATGGTAGTTCCACCAGGTGATGTTACATCATCTTTTAGCTGACCTGGATGCTTCCCAGTAAGACAAGCCATAGATGCTGCTCCGAATACCTGGCAAAAGACGCAAAGAATCGGACCTCCTCACAACTCGGAATTGAAGAGAAACAAATCGACAAAATGTTGATGAAACCGAGATCTATACTGTTAAAGTTTGTGAGAAATAGAGACACATTGTGTGATGGTTTGATGATGCAAATGACTTCTTGATTACTAAACCAGCAAACAATACAAACAGACTTACAGTTTGAGATGCTAGACCCAATGCAAGTTCTCGAGGTAGACCTGCAGCAACTCCTCCATCAGCCAAAGCCTCTATCGCCAAATATATATATGCAGGACCACTGCCACTGTATGTTTATAAAATGTATTAATCAACCCACAATTTATGAGTCCACCTCTCACGTTACGGGTACACTTATTGGGACAAAACTTAATGGTTGACGAACCTAAAAACTTCTCTGTAAGCTAGGGTGCCAGGGTACTTTAAAGGCAAAAAAATGACTCTAATTTCAGTAGACGATAAGTAATGTTTTACAGTGGTGAAGGGATCAGAATCATTTAATGATAGACAAAGTCACATACCTCAGGCCAGTAACTGCGTCAAAGTATTTTTCATCAGCTTTCCATGTCTTGCCTATTGATCCAAATACTTTAGCTATGAGGTCCCCATCTTGTTCTGTTGCACCTCCTCCCAAGCTCAAAACTATTTCACCAGAAGATAGAGGCGTGTGAAATTTTTCATCCATTATACAAATATTGGCACACCAAATTACAAATAATATGAAAACAAACCAAGGAAAATGCACATAAGATAGAGGGAGACTTGAGGAATTCTAAAATACATTGACTAAACATAACTAATCAGCATTTCACAAGTCGTGTCATGATCACATGTCATAGCAGCATGATCTACAGTGGCCAGATATCATATTCCAAGCTTTTATCTAATTAATACTAAAAATATACTTCTCTTCAGTGTGCAAAAAGTTGATATTTTATATAGGGAGTTCTATAGGCGAGAGAAAGTATTAACATAAAGCTTACATTGGGAGAGTTCTAAAGGAGAGAAAAAGTATTAACATAAAGCTTATAAAGGGAGAGTTCTATAGGCGAGAGAAAGTATAACATAAAGCTTAGTAAATATTACTTTAGAATGGCTCGCTAAAAACAAAATATTAGTTTTGAAAGAAAAAAAAATCCTACCAACCTATTAACAACATAAACGACCACTATATCTTAAATTTTCGTTTTTATTTTTTTTTTCAAAACGGGCCATTGGCAAGGAATTGATGCACAGAATCCGCTGCTATTGAAGGAATTACCGGCTTTCACTGAAAAGCTGATAACTATATGGACCATATAATTGTATGTTAGCATTGTACATGTTAACTTAAACAAATCAAACTGTAAGCACAGTTTACAGGCCATAAAGAAAACGATTATCATACATTTTTAACATTCAATATGAAAGACTAAAATATTAAAAGGATAACAGAAGTACCTGAAGCTGCTGCACCGACAGCTGAAGGAGTATTTGGCATTACCCTAATAAATCGGCTGTGACCTGCCCATTCCTGAAAAGGTTGGAACAATTTTGTTGAAAAAATAGTTGAAAAACTGGACATCAAGAAAGACAGAAAAGGATGTTCTCATACAGGTAGGTATTATAGAACTTAGAGAACAGAGGTCAAAAAATAGCAAGAGATGGCGGGTGCAATAGATTGTAGTTATACGAATTCACATTATTATTTGCAAAGTATAAACAGATAAAATTATTTATTCCAAACAAATTAGATACTTCAAAGTCATTTCCTGGATCACGCCTCCCTGGTAGGCATTAAGAGCTTCCAACCCAATAATTTTTTAGAGATAAATGGACCAAAACAAATTATTCTGTTCCTGAAATCATAAAAGTAGAAACCCCAAATTACTAAAATGGCCCTAGATATTTGGAAAGTAAAGGGATAAGAAACTTCAGTTTTCATTACTGTGTAGTCACAATTTGAAGGGTGAAAACAGGTTAAATTTAGGAGTGGCTAACTGTTGTAAGTGTAGGCAATTGATTCACGTTGTGGAAAGAGAGAAATGCCTTGTCAATATCTCTCAGAGTCAGCAATGTTATTGTAAAAACAGCAACATACTCTTTCTGGTTGTTGGCACATTCAAAAATGGGATTAATGACTATTACACTGTTATTGACACTGACTTGCAAGGAAAGCAAAGGAGGAGAACTACAAGTCCCCAAAATTTAATTCAATAACAGATGATAAGGTGATGACATTTGATGCACACATGATATATTGCTCTTCCAGTTCATCAAATTATAGTGTGTATGTTTTGTTTTATTTATTGCTATTTCATCCTCTGTATAGTTAACCGACTTCACATTTCTCCAAAATAAAAAAGCCCATCCTACTTTGTTTTCTATGTCTACAATTTGGTGAAGAGTAGCATCATATTTTCCATTCACTTGACACTGCAAGGAAACCAAACGTGGAACAGAACAATAGATATATTCATCTATGGAACTAGACAAAGAAAAGAGCGACTCTTGATGTTCTTTGGGAACAAATGTCCTCTTTTACTGTCATCTTCTAATCAGAACCATAGGGCAGAGGCAGAACTAAGAATTCGCTCGGCAGTCAAAAAGATTACATACGCATGAAAGACTGACATTAGCCCATCCCAGCTCTTTCATCCTCCCTTTTCCCCTTCGCAAAAAGTTAATTTCTAACTCTCTGCCATTCTGCGAGCCAATGTGCTTGCAATAATGTGTTAAAAAATAAAGTTATACATGTAATATTCAGTTATAACCACACAAACTCTTAGCTATGCCTTGCATTGCGTATTTTTCTTGTTTCCGCTTGCCTTTTTGTGCCCCACAACCATGTTAATCTTTTCTTACGTAGTACTCAGAATAGAGCTTATTCAACAACTTGGTTATTCTATGTGCAACACTGGAATCAGCAGTTGACACATGTAAAATG